AAGGGAGGGGAGCAGAGAGGAGGAGGGGGAAGGGAGGGGGGCGGCTGCTGACCTTGCGGTGCTGCTCATAGTTGCGAATGAAGTCGCGCAGCTGTTCCTCCCGGCTCTCCAGCGTCGCATACAGCTGCTGCATCTGGCTCACCAGGTCTGTCTTCTCACCCTTCAAGCGCTTCCGGTCGGCTTTCATGGCTGGGGACAGAAGCGTGCGTTAGTCCTGAGACCCCGGCGTCTCCTCCAGGTGCTCAGCAGGGGCCTTGCGGGCCACCTTTAGACAGGGCTCAGAAAAACGTGTCCCTCCTGAGCTCCCGTGTCCCTTCGTAGCAGCCCCCACATTCGAACCTGGGCCTACTGGAGCCTAGACTCCCCATTCTCACCTCTCGGATGAGATGTGTCGACCCAGCAGGGGAGCAAGTCCTTGTTTAAGCAACCTTCCCAGCCCTGGACTGGCAGGGTCTCGAGGCTACAGACCTGGGCCTGGTGAGCCCCAACGCCCAAGGCCCAGGGGGCTGAGGGCCATTCCCTGTCCACGTGAACCCCAGGGCCACACGGAGCCCACCAGACCCCTCAGCCCAGCCCGACAGGCCCTGTCTGCCCCATTACGTCCGGGGAAAGTGTTGGGTTAAAAACAGGCACTAAGATATGACACGGAAAGTATAAGCAACGACAGAACAAACAGAAACATGGGATTTCATCAGAATTAAAAACTTTCTGTGCTTCAAAGGACATCATCAAGAAAGTCAATGGCAATTCACAGAACGGGAGAAAATACTGGAAAATTCTATATCTCATAAGAGACTGGTGTCCAGAATATACAAATAGCTCTTACAACTCAATTATAAAAAGACAAAGAACTCATTTTTAAAATGAGCAAAGGGATCAGGTGCAGTGGCTACACCTGTAACTCTAGCACTTTGGGGAAGCTAAGGTGAGAGGATCGCCTGAGCCCATGGGTTTGAGACCAGCCTGGGCAACTTGGCAAGATCTTGTCTCCACAATACATCAAGAAATTAGCTGGGTGTGGCGGCACACCTGTAGTCTAGCTACTTGGAAGGTTGAGGTGGAAAGACCGTCTGAGCCCAGCAGGTCAAGGCTGTGATTGCTGTGAGTGTGCCACTGCACTCCAGGCTGGGCGACAGAGTGAGATTCCAACTCAACATAAAATAAATAAATAAGCAAAATGGGCAAAGGATCTGAACAGACGTTTCTTCAAGAAATTACCAATAAACACATTTAAAAGTGCTCGACATCACTGTCTTCAGGGAAACCTAAGTTAAAACCACAGTGAGATTCCACTTCACACTCACTGGAATGGCTAAAATAAAAGACAGCTGGGCATAGTGGCTCACACCTCTAATCCCAGCACTTTGGGAGGCCAATGCGGGAAAGTGGCTGGAGTCCAGGAGTTTGAGACCAGCCTGAGCAACATATTGAGAACTTGGCTCTACAAAAAAATAACAAAAGTTAGCCAGGCATGGTGGAGTGCACCCTAGTCTCAGCTACTCGGGAGGCTGAGGTGGGAGGATTGCTTGAGACCAGGATGTAGAGACCACGGTAAGCTGTGATTATACCGCTGCACTCCAGACTGGGTGACAGAGTGAGAACCTGACTCAAATAAATAAAAATCTAAATGAATGATAACAACAAGTGTTGGTGAGGATGTGGAGAAAAGGGAACCCTCATACAGGCAACAGAGATCCCGACTCAAATAAATAAGTACATACATAAATAAATAAAGACAACAGCAAATGTTGCTGAGGATGTGGAGAAACTGGAACCCTGGTAGACATGGAAATGGTGCAGCTGCTTTGAAAAACAGTACGGCAGTTTCTCAAAAACATAGTGACTCCATGAGCCAGCAATTCCACTCCTAGGCATATACCCAAGAGAAATGAAAACATGTGCCTACACAAAAACCCATACACAAGGTTTACAGCGGCACCATTTATAGCAGCCAAAAGGCGGAAACAAACCAAACGTCCATCACCAGACGAGTGAATAAACAGAATGTGATACAGCCGCATAACAAAGTATTGTTATTATTTTATTTTTACTTTTATTTTTTATATTTTTTGAGTTGGAGTCTCACTCTGTCGCCCAGACTGGAGTGCAGTGGCTGCTCCCAGCCACCGCAGCCTTGACCTGCTGGGCTCCGGCGATTCTTCTGCCTTAGCCTTCCAAGTAGCTGGAACTACAGGTGTGCACTACCACGCCCAGCTAATTTTTGATTTATTG